CAAATCTGAGACACCTGGAGCCCCGCCCACCCCTGGGACCTGCCCAATAAAACCCCAAAAACCTTAAAAAAACCCCCAAAAATCCCGAAATTCCTGGGTTTTCCAGAGGAAGCGGATGGTGGTGCCGGCTGCCCTCAAAATCATCCGCCTCAAACCCACGCGCAAGGTGGGTGCGGGAGGGGGTTTGGGGGTTTTTTAGGAGTTCTTGGGATTTTGGGGGTTTTATGGGATTGTTGTGTGGATTTTACAGCGTTTTAGGCAGTTTTATGAGGGTTTTTTAATGGATTTTTTTAGGAGTCTATGGGATTTTAGGGAGCTTTATATGGTTTTTTAGGGGTTGTATGGGATTTTAATGGGGGTAGTGGGATTTTTGGGGGGTTTCATGACGGTTTTTAAGGAGTTTAAGGGATTTTAGGGGGTTTTCTGGGACTTTTTTAGGGGGTTTATGGGATTTTAAGGGTTTTATGGGATTTGGGTGGAGAATTAGGGAGATTTGGGTGAGTTTTGTGGTATTTTGGGCAGTTCTGGGTGGTTTTATGGGATTGGGGCTTGTTTTATGGGATTTGGGCTGGTTTTATGGGGTTTTGGTGGGGTTTTATGGGATTTGGGCTGGTTTTATGGGGTTTTGGTGGGGTTTTATAGGATTGGGGGTGGTTTTATGGGATTTGGGGGGGTTTTGGGGTTCTGAGCCCCCCGCGCCTCCCAGTTTGCCGTTCTGGGCCGGCTGGCACACGAGGTGGGCTGGAAGTACCGGGACGTGACCGAGGCCCTGGAGGAGAAGCGGAAGGAGAAGGCCAAGCTCCGCTACAACAAGAAGAGGAAGATGATGGTGAGGAAAACGGGGAAAACGCCCCAAAATCCCTCGGGAGGACACCCAAATCGGGGGGAGGGTCCAGAGCCAGGCAGGGAGAACCCCCCAGGATTTGGGATTGGGATTTCAAAATGCTGGCAGGGGTGGGAAAGTCCAGAAAAACAGCGGAAAAGCCCTAAAACCAGGTAAAAATCCTAAAGCCAGGTAAAAGAGTCCTAAAAGGAGGTAAAAGCCTCAAACCAGGGGCAAGACCTGAATTCCATTGGA